ATCATCAGGCAACTCCAACCCGACGTCAAGCTCACCAAAAGCACGCGAACCAAGATCAAGCTCAACTCCTTCGATCTCCAACTCATGCTGGGCATCATCAAGCACAAACTGATTCGGATCAAAAGAGCTCTTCACGTACGCAGCGTATCTGTCACGACACTTCTGAGTGTGCCACGCCTTGTCCGCCGGAACACCCCTCAATCGACACGCTCGACACCTCGGGGTCCTGCCATTTTCCTCGACCCACGATGCTGGCGGTCCGCGAGTCTCGGTGTTTGGGATTGGAAGATCACGCATGTTCCCTTGGTCAACCGCTGGCAAGCCACGCACAACGTCACCAGCACGCTCGGGCAACATACGACAAATACCACGCAAGGCTGACAACTCAAAGGTCATGGGCACCAACATCCTGATTCGGGCTGACCGAGCAATCTTCAACGAACCATCCTTCAGTCGGAACTGCACCAGATGACTGCCACCCGCGACTTCAGGGCCAAGTACGCAGCCTGTCCATATCTGCCCGTGATGGACTGTCTTAGACTCGGCGGAGGTGTGGCTAAGATTGACGCTCCCCAGACGTATATCGCCCGAGGCTGCCTCATAGTTCTCAAACTACGTTGTTCAGGAGTCATTGCCGATCCAGGCTGAATTTGGTAGCGGTTGTGTGCCTGAGCACAGTGAGAGAGAAGAAAGCTAACTCCTCTGCCACATGGCTCCAGGCCAACTTGCTCCAGTCCGGCGCACAACGTGTTCGCGGTTTCCTTCAATGTTCGGATGGCCCTCTCTGCGACCGGGGCGTGCCGACCAACCGGAACATCAGACACCTCAACCGCACCAACGGTCATGGTATCAGCGAAACCCTGAGCAAGGTTCTTCACCACCCCCTCAAGGTCCGACTTCACGCAAACCGACAAGTCACGCGCTTCAACTCCAACCAAGCCAACACTACGTCCCCACGCCGACATCTCTCCAAGCATCACCTCACGCGCTGCTGATCCACGCGGTCCTGAAACTTCACGGTACATCACTGTTCCGATGGCAAAGCAACCAACAAGCACCAACACCAGGAACCAAATCCCCTTGTAGAAGAACTTGTCGATCTGAACCTCCTTTTGGGCTCCCTCTCCGGAATCCCTCTCGATTTTCCTAGCTGGTTCAAGGCCTCTACCACGCACGCAATGCTCACAGCTGGAATTAAAAGGAACATGACTTCGCAACACATGCTCACGGTGAACCTTTCCCCATAACTCCTGGTGAAGTAACTCCTGATCACCACGTAGCAACCACGCCTGGTCGCCGTCTGGGGCCGGTGCTTTCTCCTGATCAAGCTCACCAACACACACATGCTCAACCATGCCACTCATGCCAACCATGCCACTCATGCCAACATCACAAGCGCAAGCACAACCATCAAGCACATCAAGATTTTTGCTGCTCGCCACTGCCTGGGAAGATCCTTTCTGGCTGACTGCACTCAGCGCTTTCGGTCCGTCACCACACTCCATCCACTCGAAGTAGGCGTTCCGGGAATGGTCGGTGGTGGTGGCAATGGCGATGTCTTTGGCGGCGTAGCTGGTGCCCGTGATGCGCTGGCCCTTGGCGATGTCGGATTCCTCGGAGGCGTAGGCAAGCGTCGACGTGGCGGAACCCGCGGAGGGGTAGGCAACCTTTCCGGGTACCCCGGGGAGTCGGCTTCCTTCCTCGGTGGGCTCGGGGGCTTTGCTTTCTCCTTGATGATCTCGGAGATGGTCGTCACAGTGTAGGGGGCCTTGCGGTCCAGGCACTGCAAAAAATGCTCCTTGAGGTGCTCCTCCAGCGTCCTCCTCTCTGGGCCCTTCTTCTCCTTGCGAAAGCGATTCAAATCGGACTTTGCAGCTGACGTCATGCGGCTTTCCTTGAGCTTCTGCTTCTTCACTGCCCTTGAACTTGCACTCCACAACGTCAACCACGGCTGCTGGCGATCGGAACGAGGCACCAGCTTCACGGGGGTCCTCTTTGTCGACGAAGAGCTCGCTGCCTTTGGCATTCTCTTCACGAGAGGCTTCTGGGGCATCTTCTTCACTTTCGGCTTCTTTGGCATGGGCTTCTGCTGGGGGATCTTGGCGGGTCCTGCGGTCTCGATCTCGCCCGGCTTCAACACCACCTGGGACTCGGTCTCCGCGGGCACCAGGAGGATCGTGCCCTCTGTCTCCGTGGACGTAGCTGTGGCCAACCGGGTGCTCTCCTCGAAGTCCTCTTCTCCCACCGAGATTGAGGCCGCTTGAGTCGCCACGACTCTCCGGACCAGCTTCCCTTTGTCTTTCCCTTCCATGCGCCGTTCCACTTCGCTCTCGCTGGAGGAGGCCATCTTCTCGGGCTGCGGAAGGTCTCGCACTCGAGGGGTCTGCAATCTGCTGCGCTGCACTCTGCTCTTGAGACACCAAACAGGCCCGTGCCACCGCATGACTCTGCAACCAGCAACAGTTGTTGGACCATACAGCCTTAAATTTAAAACCACCAGCTTGCACGTGGAGATGGGGGGCAAAAGAAACTGTCCAATTCCTATTCAGGAGTCGTCCTAGGCTCAGGAGATTAAATCGCACAGGTGCAACCAGGGCTTCAAACTCAACGACGATAGGACTGGATCTCTCAACGGCAAAGCAAACGCGAACCACAGCACTCTTCTGAACCCCTATGGAAGCACCCGTGGCAGTCACACAGTCTCTACCAACGTGCTCACTCAGGCTCAGCACTTGCACATGCTGCAGTGTCTCCTCGCTGATCAGGTGCGTCGACGCTCCGGAGTCCAGCAACCACCAGTCCATGGCTTCAGAGCTGCTACCATGTGTCACATGCGGGGCTGCCATGCTCATGTCATGAAAATAAAATTCACTCAATCCATGCTCACCAAGCGTCAACGGGGCCTTCTCAAGCTCAACGGGGGTCTCTAGGCTTCCAAGCTGCGACGTTCCAAGCTCAACGGGGGCCTTCTCAAGCTCAACGGGGGTCTCTAGGCTTCCAAGCTGCGATGTTCCAAGCTCAACCAGATCAAATATTAACAGGAGCTAGAGATTTAATACCACTTTTGTTGGGCTTTTAAAGAAACCTGTTGCATTTTGTTTCTGAATTTGTTCCTGCATTTGAATTTGTGTCTGTTGCATTTGTACCTGTTTTATTTGTATCTTTTGATTTGTACCTGTTGCATTGTACCTGTTCCATTTTGTTTGTTTCATTGTCTTGCATTTGCACTTTGTACCTGTTGCATTTGCGCCTGTTACATTTGTACCTGTTGCATTTGCACTCATTGCATTTGTTCCTGTTGCATTTGTCTCTGTTGCATTTGCACCTGTTGCATTGCCTGTTGCATTTGTACCTGTTGCATTTGTGACATGTGTCCGGCTTAAAATTGTATTAATGCACGAACGAAGTGAGAACGCGTGCTGTAATTCTATTGCAAACTAATGCGCGAATAGAATGAAAGTAGCCCACGAACGTAGTGAAGTGAGAGAAGAGAAGACACGGGCGAATAAAAGACAAGTGACCGCCCGTAAAAAACTACTATTATTGCGAATTAAGTTCATTCGCGCGACGTTCACTCGTTACCTTGCAAATTAGTTCATTTCACTCCCTCGTTCGCTTCTCTCTCTTCGTTTAGTTAAGGGAACAAGGGGGCCGTGTAAAAAGAACTAAAATGGCCATGCTGTACGCAAAAGGGCTCATAATAAGCATATTCATGCGCCCTTTTACTCACTTTATGCTTTCACCTCTGGATCTAGGATATAATCATTAGGGCGCTCACTATGTTCACGCTTTAATTTGCTAATATTGCTTTCTTCACGTTCACTTACTTCCTTCTTTCTTGCGCATATTTTGTTATAATCGCGCGTGAACTTGCATTAATAATCAAAAAGTGAGCAAAGAAGAGAAGCGAGCGTGAACTACATTCATATCTTCACGTGTTCTCTTCATTCACTACGCTCATTCTGTTCACACTTTATTTGGAAGTTATACCAGGATGAGAGAACTGATTCAGAGAGCGGTTAACCTTTACTTTTCCTGGCTGGTACTGAAAGGGTGGTTTTCTTGCATGCGTTCTCTCTCATAATATTACATTTGTAAGCTAGTGCACGAAATCTAACAATAAAATTGGAGGATTCGTTCACGCCTTGTGCGCAAGCTTACAATATTATTATTCTGGCGTACGAGCGAAGAGAGTGAAAGAATAACATGACAGGTAAACCGCCCAGTCAAGGAACTAGATGGCAAGGGTCTCAAGGTGTGACAGGGAGACGCATGAACTGGATATTGAGGTCATTACCAGGATGATAGGGGTTACTATGTGGACAGAGTACCAAGTTAGGATGGGTCCCGAGGTGGGTTCCTTGTCAATAGAGTTCCTGTCCAGTTAGTTCCTTGGCAGTTAGGTTCTTAGGGGTGATTCAGAGAGCGGTTAACCTTTACTTTTCCTTTCGTACACCATCAATTTGCTTGTTTCCTGCTGATGCTGTAAGTTGCTGTTGTTCTGCATCCTTATGGTGGTAGTCTGCTTCTTCTTCTTCTTATTATTATTATCTTCATCCTTTTCTTCTCTTCTCCTTGGTGTTGGTGGTGCTCGTGCTGGTGCTGGTACTGGTGCTGCTGGTGGTGTTCTTGTTCATGTTCTCGTATTTTTTTCGTGTTCATGATCCACTGCTGTTGTGTGTGTGAGAACCATTATAATGGGTACATGGGGCGTTCTGAGTGATACAGTGTGTCATACGTTAACACTGGAATGAAGTGAAGTAAGCTGCTCTCCCCCCACCTTCCTTATGAGAGTCTTGCGGTAACCCCTTTGTTCGGTCAGCCGTGGTTAACGAACACGAGAGTCACAGTCACGTGATCGCTAATCACGGCTGTATCCTGCGCTATGTAAACTCATTTATCTTTAGAGGTTACCGGCGTGCGGGGTTACCGGGCCACTCTCTTTATTCCCACCGCGTGTGACAGGAGCGGACTCTTTATCTCCGTTGCTGCAGACGGTGATGATATTTTGCAGCACCATGCTCCTGGCAACACGCATCTTGGTACCAGAACTCTCACTCGGTCAAGCCTTCAGCGGTTGCCTGTGCTCTCCTTCCTACCCTTTTTCTTTCAAATGCATCAATGTCACGCGGGCTGCACCAGGGCTCTACGCTTTGGTCGTGCTTCGATCCATTGTCGTGCTTGCCGTTCTGGAAATTGCTTGGTATCCCGTTGATTCAAAAGCGTTCCTGGAGTGGTCGGCCTTGGTCTTCAACTACAGCTTCTCTCGCATCGTTCGCGCCAGCGTCGCATGCTTGCTGATGGCCACCACAGGTGTTGGAAGGGCCAAAGCAAAGGGAGGCGGAGCTGTTGAAGCTTAGATGGCATTCTATCCAGCTTCTGACAGCATAGCTCCGGAAGTTGCAGGCTTGTGGAGTATGCGCAAGGCTTGCGAGACAAAATGCGGTTGCAGAGCTTGAAATGTGCAGCTTTCGAGGGCAGATAGCCTAGGTCTTTGTCATGTCATGAGTGCCTCAACCCTATGCCCTTTGTCACAAAGGCTCCTTTTTTATGCGGGGGCCATAAACTATACGGACCGAAAAGGGTTCAGGGACCCCAAGCCCGAAACCCTAAGCCCGAAGCCATAAACCCTGACGGAACAAACTTGGCTCCAGTCACTGGCCACCCTGGAACGTCTTGAACTCGACGATTGGGTTTAGGGTTTAGGGTTTAGGGTCTATGGTTTCGGGTGTGAGGGTTTAGGTGAGCACTGGCCCACAGATTCCGAGCAGTAGGCCATTCAGGGCATCAGCTTCGCACAAGCTGAGCAAACTGTCGTTAAGTCCACAGTACGCCCCCAAGCTTTTCTCCTGTTTTAGAAGCTCGCCCCTTGCTGAAAGGGGTTTCGGGCACGAACCCTAAACCTCAAAGCCCTAAGCTCTAAACCTTATATAAATCCTAGTTGGTGGCTTGAAGTCGGGTTTCGCATTCAAGGGCAAGAGCCTTTCATCAACTCTGCGCCGGCTCGGAAGAGGTCGAGACAGTAGAGAAGCACTTGGAGCCCCTTCCATTGTAAGTTTACGGTGTAGGGTACGGGGAGATGGTGCTCCTGACCTTGACTGCTACGGCAGCAGGGACTGCCGGCGCCGGTGTCACATGGAGCACGTGCCCGAAAGCCAGTTGAGATGGGTTTCCGCTGGACACCCGAACTCATGACTCAGGGATTACGGGTTTAGGGTTTAGGGTTTAGGGTTTAGGGTTTAGGGTTTAGGGTTTAGAGTTTAGGGTTTAGGGTTTAGGTTTTGGGGCTCATGCCAGGTACGGAAAAAGAAAGATGAAAAGTCTTGCCGAAAGCCTCATCAGCAAGGCCCTGGCTGGCAGCCCGTGCCTTTTCCTGAAAACAGGCGCTACGTTTTTATTGTGACGACTGCTCCTGATTATTATTATTAATATCATTATTATTACTATTATTATTATTATTAATATCATTATTATTACTATTATTATGATTTTTTTATTACTATCACTATCACTATTTCTATTACTATTACTATTGCTATTGCTATTATTATTATTATTATTACTATTACTAATACTATTACTATTACTATTGCTATTGCTATTATTATTATTATTATTACTATTACTAATACTATTACTATTACTATTGCTATTGCTATTGCTATTACTATTGCTATTGCTATTATTATTATTATTACTATTGCTATTACTATTACTCTTACTATTACTATTACTATTATTATTACTATTATTTATTATTATTACTATTATTAATTACTATTACTATTACTAGTACTATTACTATTACTATTACTATTACTATTACGATTACGTTTACCATTACGATTACTATTGCTATTACTATTACTATTACTATTACTATTACTATTGCTATTGCTATTACTATTACTATTACTATTATTATTATAATATTATTATTATTGTTATTATTACTATTACTATTATTATTATTATTATTACTATTAGTATTACTAGTACTATTACTATTACTATTTCTATTTCTATTTCTATTTCTATTTCTATTACTATTACTATTACTATTACTATTACTATTACTATTACTATTACTATTACTATTACTATTACTATTATTCATTGCTTGGTTTTCATTGTGACGAACCTGCTCCTTCTGGTATTGTTATTGTTATTATTCTCCTTCTTCTTCTTCTTCTCATTATTTTTGTTGTATTTTATCCCAGGTACTTTTGATGAAGCCTGCACTTTGAGTAGGGGCTCGCCTGCGCACGCTGAGGTGCAAGTTGGGCTCTGTCGATTTCAGCCTGTCCGGCGGCGAGATGCAGATCGGAGTGTCAGGCAGCGGGGGGCTCACCCGGAACCCTGAACCCTAAACCCTAAACCCTGAACCCTAAACCCTAAACTCTAAACCCGAAACCCTAAACCCGAAACCCGAAACCCTGAACCCGAAACCCTAAACCCCACACCCTAAACCCTAAACCCTCAACCCTAACCCGAAACCCTACGCGAGCCTTGTGTGGCTCCTGTGGCCAGGTGTGGACATCGGAAACTTGCCTCCCTACAAGAGTGAGTCGCTTCTGACGATCTCCTCCGTGTATGTGGCAGCCGGAAGCTCAGGAAGAACGGGTTAGGGTTTAGGGTTTGGGTTTAGGGTTTAGGGTTTAGGGTTTAGGGCTTAGGGTTTAGGGTTTAGAGTTTAGGGTTGAGGGTTCAGGGTTGAGGGTTTAGGGTTTAGGGTTTAAGGTTTAGGGTTTAGGGTTTAGGGTTCTGTAGGGCTCAAGGGCTCAGGAGAGTGCTGCAATGAGCATTTGGAGGTTCATTGGTTCTTCGAAGCAGGGTTCTAACTAGGGTAGCTATGGTTATGACCTCATTTAGCACGAACCTCCAAGTATTCGAGCGTAGGAGATGCAAGAGCCGAACGACACCCCGAATGTTCTCCACTCAGGTGAATCTGAAGTCCCTGGTTGCATCAGGCACGGTGCCGGTGCCAGAGAAAAGAGTCGGGTTAAGGAAGGAAGTGAGTGATGCGCTTTGCAGCGACATTGGATATGGGGGGATGGTTTTGAAGGCAGAGCAGTGCCGCAGCAGTTTAGTCAGGTTTTGGGCACAATACTTGTGAACGCGTGAACGCGAGGCTGCCAGCAAGTTACCGTTGAAGAGCTCATTGTAGACGGTCTTCAGCTGACCTGGGAGAAGATCCACGTAAGATCCAGCAACGTGAAGGATCTGCTACACAAGATGAACCACAAAGAGTCGATAGACGCGGCGGAGCCCGAGAACGAGCAGGATGAGCAGGGGACTGGCCTGGTGCCCCAAGTCACGGATGCCGTGAGCACCGTGGCCGGCGAAATCAGCCATACGGCCAGCGGGCTCAAAGAGCTGGGCCAGACAGCTGCAGCGCAGGTGGCAGCCATCGCGCAGCCTCCCCAAGAGAAGGAGCGCAAGGAAGCTAAGGTGTGCATCAAAACGGTACACATCAAGAGCATCGAGGTGCTCTCCGTGAACGCGCTGACGGAGGGCCCCCTTTCATTCAAGGCCCCGCCCATCCGAATCGAGAGTTTCTCCGAGTCCCACGGCACCCAGAAGGCAGCTGAGATGATCCAGCTGCTGCTCAAAGAGATCCTGGGCTCCGCAAGGGAGGCAGGAACCTTAGAACGCCAAGACTTTGAGATCGGGTCATCCTGTTACTATTACTATTACTATTACTATTATTATTATTATTTTTCTTATTATTGTTATAGTTACTACTCCTATTATTATTATTATTACTATTATTATTATTACTATTATTACAATTACTATTCTTGTTATTATTAGCTCTGTTTAGTTCACCCAACTCTGCCCTGGGATCATGGCCGCTCAGGTGGTGAAAGATCGGGCCAAAGACGAGGTACGCTCAGTGGTATCCTCGTTTGTCTGTGACGCGGCGAGCACCGTCGCCAAGGCTGCCGCGTCAGTCGGGGCTGCATTTTGCCCTGCGGTGGCGTGTGTCGTGGATTCCGTTTGCGTTTTCTGGAATTTTCTCTCCGAGCCAGCGCTCCCTTCCAAGTAGGGATAGACTGCAATCAGTCCATCCCATGTACAGCGTTGGTTTCACATGAACATCTGGTCTCAAGATGCTGAGGCGACAGCAAAGATCAAGCCGCCTTCGAGGGGTGAGATACGAGATTCAAGAATCGGAGTGAGAGGAATGTGTTGCGGCTCGGGGGGCCTCAGAAACCGGGGCCATTTCAACAAACCATGTAGTTCCAAAAGTCTTGACTTCACGAAAACATCTGGAACAAAGGGAAGCGGACCAGAGCGTTTTCATTTTCTTGTGTTCTCGCCCTTTCGGACGGCCTTTTCACCAACCCGAACCCTAGAAACCCCAAAACCCTATAAACCCGAAACCCTAATCTCTAAACCCTAAACCCTGTACGAGACATGTCTGAGAAATTTGCGAGGCAGGTCAGGTGCCTGTCAAGGGTGCTAACCTCAAGGATGCTCATTGTAAGCAAGAGGCAGAGAAGTTCTCTGCACTCTCCCGGCTGTGCAGTCGCACTTCTCCGCAAAACCATGCCTAGCATTGTGAGATCTGGAGGGTTTCCGAAAATAGGGGTACTCTTGTTGGGGGCCCCCTTAAGGCCCTTGAGGGGATTCCTCCCTCTGCCCCCTGAGCCCCAATCAGCCTCCTTCACTCGTCAGGTTCCCAAAGCCTCAAGTCTAAAGCCTCAGGGTCCTCAGCCCATCTAAACCCCAAGCCGTTTAGGCCCTTTAGGCCCGAACAACCCCTAAACCCTAAACCCTAAGCCCTAAGCCCTAAACCCTAAACCTAAACCCTAAACCCTAAACCCTAAACCCTAAACCCTAAACCCTAAGCCCCAAACCCTAAACCCTCAGCCCTAAACCCTCAACCGAAACTTTCGTGGGTTTCGCTGCCATTTTGGCTCCCCAGATCGAGCGCCGCTGAACCAGCGGTTCGGAGCTCGGGGGCTGGGAGGGGGGGAAGGGTTTAGGGTTAGGGTTTAGGGTTTAGGGTTTAGGGTTTAGGGTTTTGGGTTTAGGGTTCGTCGGGAAAGAGGGACGGAGGTACCCTACACAATCCCTCAAAGGGTTTTTTAATAGGGGGATATAGGGTGCCTCATTCCCTCATTCCCTACTCATCAGCAGTAAGGGGGAGGGGTAGGGGGGGGGGGGGGGACCCTCAACCCTTAACCGGGCTCTTGCTTCGGTTGTCGGAGATGCCTGACACTCAGGTGCCGGGAGCGAGTGGTTCTCCCAAGCCCCGCTTAATGCAGAGGCTTCGGCTGCTTTGCTGTGTTTAACGTTTCCAGGCTCGCGCTATATGGTTTTCGGTTTCTGAAAGTGCCGACTGAGGTGCAGGCTCTTGTGTTAAGGGTCTCCCCCGCCTTGCTCCACCACAAATTTGTTGTGAACAGGCTGAGTCTTCGCTGGAGTTGTGTAGCGACGTCAGGGATACGGGCTGCGGCTCCAGATTATGGACCCTTTTTCCTGAACGCAAGGGCCCATATAGTTAGAAGGGACCACGGAATGGGACACGAGTGTGGGAGACCTTACGTGTGATGTTCTTGGAGCAACTTTTGGCGCAGGTTGATTGAGCATGTGTATCTTGCCATCCGTACTTGGAGGTTCAGGATACTTAACCCAATTGTATGTGTAGTTATGACGCCTTGACAAGCCCCTTAAGTACCATCATGGGGTTACAATTGGGTTATAAGTACATTTAAAGAAGGGTTACGAAGTACCATGAACCTAAGAGCCACTGTCGGGAGGTAGTCGCGGGCCGGCTTGGATCCATGTTCTCTCCACCGATGGTGCTGGCCTCAACATGGCGGGATGTCGCCCTAACCCTATGCCCTAAGACCATCAAGCCCTCAAGAACCTCAAACCCTAAACCCTAAAACCCGAAGCCCTAAACCCTAAATACAACCACGAGAAGGGCGACGCTTGTGACGACCGTTGCGGTCGCCACTGCTGCGCCGTAGCCCTCAACGTAGCGGCGCCTCGAAGTGGTACCGGGCTCAAGTGCTGCCTTTCAGGGGCCTGCCTACGGCATTCCCCCTTGGCTGTCATGCTGCTGCTCAGAGGGCCTAGCCAGGTGTGTGGCATCTGGTGGATTCTGGTGTGCAGTGCTGGAGCTGGTGCATCCATCCCGGGAGAGGATGCATCGGATGACGAGGCAGTGTTGTTGGCAACCTACGCATCGCACGAGATTGCGAGGCTCCAGGGGGAGGTGCAGCTTTGGAAGTCGAGATACGAACGGCTCTTGAAGCTCTTCGCCGACTTCTCCAGCCAGCCCCAGACGGTGCAGGATTTTCCATTCTATATGATGATGATTCTTATTGCTGTAATCATGATATTATTATGATAATTATTGTGATTATTATTATGATGAGTATAATAATCATAACAAATAGTACTATTATTACTATTATTACTATTATTACTATTATTATTATTACTACTATTATTACTATTATTACTATTATTACTATTATTACTATTATTACTATTATTACTATTATTACTATTATTACTATTATTACTATTATTATTATTATTACTATTATTATTCTTATTACTATTATTACTATTATTACTATTATTATTATTACTATTATTATTATTATTACTATTATTATCATTATTATTATTACTATTATTACTATTATTACTATTATTACTATTATTATTATTATTACTATTATTACTATTATTACTATTTGTCTTTATTTCAGTTGTTTTTTCCCAGGACCTGCGCGTGGATGACACGTACTTCATGCCCGGCAACGTCCAGCACTGCCGGGGCGAGATTGCTGCCACGACTCCTTCAGAGGCCACGAATCCCCAACAGGAGCCTGACATTGACTTTCCGAACTACAGGTACCTGGTGTACGGTCAGGACTCTCAATTCGCCCACCGGCTGCAGCAGTCGTACGATGGTGCATCCCAGAGTTTGGAGCACTTCCTGCGGATTCTGCCCGAGTCCCGGACGCCTGCCATCATGTTCGACATCGACAACACGCTGGCATACACGGGGTTCAATGACACCGATGTTGTCGGGAAGGCCCCTCCCCTTGCCACAGCCATCAAGTTTGCAGAGAGATGGTGCGCCTTCGAGGGGGCGGCTGACGGTCGCTTCGAGTGCTTCTTCTTCACTGCAAGGTATTGCACGAGCCTGAAAGCAGCCGCCACAAAGATCTGGGTGGCTGACAACTTCCCCGTGAGCCATGACTGGATTGACACGCATGTCTTCCTGACAGGCCCCTGAACCAACCGGCAACTACAAATCCATGAATCTATACACCCCCCCCGTATTAAGCTTCCCTAAGGCCTCAACCCCCAACCCAAACCTTGTGTCAACATCTACGACCTAACCTTTAAACCCTAAACCCTAAACCCTAAACCCTAAACCCTAAACCCTAAACCCTAAACCCTAAACCCTAAACCCTAATCCCTAAACCCGAAACCCTAAACCCGAAACCCGAAACCCTAAACCCTAAACCCGAAACCCGAAACCCTAAACCCTAAACCCTAAGCCCTAAGCCCTAAGCCCTAAGCCCTGAACCTCTGGGGAAGGTGGAGTCGGGGGTTGCGAGTCCGGAGACTGCAGCCTGGCTTACAAAGCAGCCTTGCGCCACTGGTTCGCCGAGACGCAGGATGTGTTCTGGGCCCCCTGGGCTTGTTAGGGTTTAGGGTTTAGGGTTTAGGGTTTAGGGTTTAGGGTTTAGGGTTTAGGGTTTATCCGAGCACCTGTTTAATTGGGGGCCCCCCCCCCCTCCCCGCCACAAGAAGAAAGGCAGGGTTCCGCAATAGTAAGACCACGGCCCTGTATTGATTCTCTACTAAAAACAATAGGCCGCAAATCCCTGAGGTGCTGTAGCTTCGCAGCTCAGCAAGCAAAACAAGAAGCCTGCCGACAGATTTTGGAACCCCCCCGAAAACTTCATTCAATGTGGTGGTATTGGCCCATACGAAAATTGCCGTACTGGAAAGTAGTCTTCCGGCGGGCTTCTCGGCGAAAAACAATTCTTTAACTGAGGGCGTATTAATTAAACAGGTGCTCGGATGAGGGTTCAGGATCTGCAGGCAGGGTTTAGGGTTCAGGGTTTGCGGTTTAGAGGCTTTGAGGAGGTTTGGTGGAAGGCCGTGTTTCTGTGGAAGGGCGCTTGGAGGAGGATTGCATCTTCGAGGGTTGAGGTGTATCTGTGGTTTGTCGGTTCTTGGGCGTTGACATTGGACTCCAAGCCCGAACCCTAAACCCGAAACCCTGAACCCTGAACCCTAAACCCGAACCCCAATTTATAGGGGTTAGGGTTTAGGGTTCAGGGTTTCGGGTTTAGGGTTCGGGGCAGAGTTTTTTGATAGAAGCAACCACGACCTCGACAGCGCTTGGAGTGCAGCGGCATGTTTTTCCGCAACGATGTCATCCTGAGTTGGCCCCGTCTTTGTAAAGTTGTGTGTGTGTGTGTGGTTTAGGGTTTAGGGTTTAGGGTTTAGGGTTTAGGGTTCAGGGTTTTCCAGGCTTGCTTAGAGAATGAAAGCGTTGCAAAGACACTGCGCAGCGCAGCTGGGTCAGACGGAAGTTTCTGCTGTTTCTTGCTTGAAGGTTCATGGTACTTACTAACCAATTATAACTGTACTTATAACCCTACTTATATTACCCCAAAAGGGCCTTATAGGGGTTATCCCAATTATAAGTAGGGTTCTAAGCCCAGTTATAATTGGTTAGTAAGTACCATGAACCTTCAAGTAGAGAATGCTTACGAAGCTATTGCTTGCAAGGATCATATCAAACCAGTGTAGCTTGCTTCGTCCGTAAACTCCTAAGCAAGAGGGTCCTATTTTCAATGCCCCCAGAAGAGGGGCCGTAATCTAGAGGATGGACCAGGTGATGAGCATTGGCGACCAATTCACGGACTCGGCTGGTGTCGCATCCGGGCTGCGAGTGGCTTGACGTCAGTGCACGGGGTTGCTTGGGGCGTTTAGGAGGTTCAGGGTGGAGGGTGTTTAGGGCCTATTAGGGCCTAAGCCCTAAACCGTAAACCCAAAACCCAAAACCCTAAACCCTAAACCCTAAACCTTAAAGGCCTTGAGACGCCCTCGCCGGCGTAGGTCAAGTTGCCGAACTTCTGGTTCGACAGCAGTGTGGTGCCGAACCCCTTGGGAAATGGTGGCCAGATCGACCTGGATGACAACCGGAGCCTTGGATTGCTTCCTAGGGTTTCGGGTGTAGGGTTTAGGGTTTGGGGTTTAGGCTTTAGGGTTTAGGGCTTCCTAGGTAGGACTAGGGGGACCCGCCTTAAAAGGGAACCCTCTCAACCCTCTTCTGGCACTCTTGAACGGGGACCTTTATTTTCGAGGGTGCTATATCCCCAAGGGTCCCCCGAATCCTATCCCCCATTGCTCCTTGCTGAGCATGCGGTTTATCAAGCTCTTCAAAACACCAGCCCTGTGAACCCCCCCCCCAAGCTCCAAACCTCATTCGGCCAGCCGCTTCTGCACTCAGCCCGTGAGCCCGTGAGCCCTAAACCCTAAACCCTAAACCCTAAACCCTAAACCCTAAACCCTAAACCCTAAACCCTAAACCCTAAACCCTAAACCCTAAACCCTAAACCCTAAACCCTAAACCCTAAACCCTAAACCCCTCTGCCCCTCAACCCCCAAACGCTCAAAACTCAGGGAGTTCCCACCTGAAAGTCAACACTGTGGCCTCAACTGCGTGGTGGGCCCGGATGGGCCATGCCTGGAAGCTGCCCTGCGCGACGACGCGATCTACTGGCAGCCCGGCTTCTGTAGGGTTTAGGGTTTAGGGTTTAGGGTTTAGGGTTTTGGGTCTAGGGTTTAGGTCTTAGGGTTTAGGGATTAGGGTTTAGGGTTTAGGGTCACTGGAAGGTTGAGGGGGTACTTCTTAGCGGGTTTACAATATAAGGGACCCCTAAAGTAGACCACCCAAATAGTAGTCTTCCCTTAGAAGAAGGACCCCAAAAAGGTACCCTAGTTTCGGAAACCCCCTTATAGAGGTTGGGCTAGAAGTACCCTCGGTTGTAACCATAGTTACCCTAGGTATTACCTACTTAAAGTACCCATGAACCTCCAAGTACAGGCCGCCCCCCGAAGGCTCCAACACATCCCGTTTTACCAAGGAAGGTTGAATTAGGGTCCTACTACTATTGACGTAAGGAATATTCCTTTCATGAAGGGAAACCTCCCTTAAAGGGGCAAGGTGTAGGGTTCAGGTCTTAGGCCGTTCATACGATCCCGAGGCATACGCGACTGCAGTACTGCCTGGATCAAGACAGCACGAAGGCACCTGACCAAGTGCATGGGTGTACATACAACCTCTTGACGCAAGAGGTGAGTTGTTGAGCTTCACTTGCAGGCAAAGTTCTGCAATCCTTTTGGCATGGAGTGCAACGCTCCCTTAGCCTTAGCCTGCTTCTCACACTCACAGGCGGCAGGGACGAGTTTGGAAAGGCCGCAGCCCTTGCTGGACCCGAGAGACCCCAATGTCCTTCAAGTTGGGAAGCTGCACTGCAGAATGTGAAGGAAGGTTCCTTTACACATACTAGGATATCACGAAAAATGTTAAAGGAAGATTCGCGGGTTTAGGGTTTAGGGTTTAGGGTTTGTGGAGTCTCTGGGTTATGCTGTTGCTGTGCATCCCCTGCAAGCTGAGGCGTGGGGCAAAGATGACTGGGAGCAGGCAAGGTGGGAGGCAAGTCCACGTCCACGGCAGCGGTTTCGCCATCAGTGGTAGTTATCCCTAAACCCTAAACCCTCTAAACCCTAAAACCTAAATCCTAAACCCTCAACCCTACATCCTAAACCCTAAACCCCTAACCGAGGTGGTTTCGGTTTCGGGTGCAATGAAAACGTAGCATAAGGCAACAGTTTTCTAGCAGTTGGGTGCCCTGAGGGTGTGGCCGGGGAGGGGGCATTCGAGCTAGGGTATGCTAAGTTTTCTTAAGTGGCTATGCTGTCACTAGGCCGAGTCCCCGGATCATCTAGGGGCTAAGTTCCTTAAACACGAGTTGCGGTAGGGAACCTCAAAAAAGCTGTGAGGAGAACTAGCGAGCCTTGGGTTACATATCCCCCTTGAGCCCCCTCTCCCTTAAGAACCCCAAACCCTAAACCCTAAACCCTAAACCCTAAACCCTAAGACCTGGGTTACATCCCTTGAACCCCCTCTCCGTTAAGGACCCTAGAAATTGGCTTTTTGTTGTCAGAGACGTGTTTGGTTCCTCCTTGGCTCTTTAGGTCGCTCTGGTCCTAACATGTCCAAGATGTGAGGGTCATATTTTTTTGGTTTTTGTAGATATCTCAACAGTTCAGGGCTTAGGGTGTGGGGGATTCAGGGTTTAGGGTTTAGGGTTTAGGGTCTTGCTTTAGGGAAGCTCCTGCATCCTTTCTGATCCTTCCAGGGTGAGGCGCTGCTGCGACAGGGGAAGGCACGCACCTGGCGCCAGCGCCTCAACTACTTGCCAGCGAACACCTCAAAGTGGAACTCCCAAGACTCTTAAACTCTAGTGACTCTAGTCCCTAAACCCTAAACCCTAAACCCTAAACCCTAAACCCTAAACCCTAAACCCTAAACCCTAAACCCTAAACCCTAAACCCTAAATCCTAAACCCTAAACCCTAAACCCTAAACCCTAAACCCTAACCCTGTTGCGACTGCAGGCTCTCTGAATGTGATAAACAGCCAACACGAAATAGCAAGGAAAGGAAGTGTTACAGTACCAGAGCAGCCTGAAACCAGATCATTCTTCATAAAGGGCATATGATTATAGAGGGTCATAAGGCTGTAGAGTTCGGGGTTTGGAGTTTACGTTCCTTTTGCTATATTTGGATCCCGGGTGCGCGAGTGGTACGTAGGAGATTTGTAGGCGGTTCTTCAACTGGCGTTGCCTACGTAGAGCAGCTAGAGCTGTAACGGGAGATAACCTTACTTGAGGTTCTTACATGTGAATTTCCCAAAAATAGGGTCCGTTGAGATACCCCCCGTTCTAAGAATCCCGAAAAGGATACCCCCGCCCCCTCCCCCTCCATTTTAGGAACAGCCCCCCCTCCCACATATCCTGATAACCAAGACCCTAAACCCTGAGCCCTAAACGCTAAATCCCAAACCCTTAGGCCCTAAACCCGAAACCCTAAACCCTAAACCTAAAATCCCAAACCCTTAGGCCCTAAACCCTAAACCTTAAACCCGAAACCCATGATCCTTCAAACAGGGCTCGAGCCACGGAGAGGTCCCCGGGAGGTCTTCGACTGCCTTTTCTGGCCGCTGCTGCTGTTCTGCTCGCACCCCAGCGCGCCAGGCGGAAGTTGTTTAGGGTTTAGGGTTCAGGGTTCAGGGTTTAGGGTTTAGGGTTTAGGGTTTAGGGTTTAGGGCACCTGGGCGTTCAGCGCACATTGAGCTGCCAGCGTCCCATGATGCGGCTCTTGCTCAAGGTACCTGCATCCAGGGTACTTGACTTACTTGACGTTACAAACTATGTATAGCCATAGTAACCCTGTTGGTACCCCCACCTACAACGACCCGCGAACTTCCAAGTACCTTTGGACCAACCCTCCTGTGCCCTGATCCCGCAAGCCTTCGGAGAATCAGCACGTGTTAGACGATCCCTCATACTTGGAGGTTCCTGCCATGTGTAACTGTACGTAAAATCCAATTGGAACCCTACTAGGGTACTTCAGGGGCTTTTTCAGTGGGTTATGACTGCACTTATAACTGGTTCCTAAATCCTAAAGCCCTAAACCCTATTGGGTTATATAGGGTATAATAGCCTTTTAAGGAAGTTATAGGGTATAATAGCTTTTTAAGGGAGTTATAGGTTCTAAGTGCCCCAAACCTCCTCAAGTGCGTGGCTGCAGCGACCCATGGCAGCGGCCCCCGCGGCGCCCAGGCGGGGGCGCGCAGGCGGGGAGATGCTGAAAGGATGGAGGGGTTTAGGGTTTAGGGTTTAGGGTTTAGGGTTTAGGGTTTAGGGTTTAGGGGCTCTCAGGTGTAAAGCTTAGGGCCTTAGGGCTTAGGGTTTCAGGTGAAAGGCTTCGGGATTAGGGTTTAGGGCCAAGCAGCCTTAGGCAGTCCCACACCCTAAGCCTTCAACCCGAAACCCCAAACCTTTAACCCTAAACCCTAAACCCTAAACCTTTAACCCTAAACCCTAAACCCTTAAACCCTAAACCCTAAACCCTAAACCCCGAAGCCCCCAACAGCACCAGACAAGGCGCCTGCCTCTTTGCCGTGCTGGCGCCTCTCCTGTGCAGCCTCTCCCGCACCTTCGCCCAGGCCTGTCGGACCTCTGTCTGGGCCCTGTCGGGGCAACTTCACAACTTTTCCTTGTTTGGCTTAAACCCATTTTTTTTAACGCCCAAACCCTAAACCCTCAACACTTTTGCAGACAGGTTCAGAAGGGGCAGCCTGGTTGTCTATGTGGCCGCTGAGGATTTGGAGTTTCAGTCTGAGGTTTGAAGGTTTGGGGTTTTAGGCTTTAGGTTTTGGGAGGCCCTCCTGTCATAGCAGACGCTTGGGGAAATTTACGCCCCGAGGACGACCCCCAGCTCGCCCTAAACCCTCAACCCTCAACCCTAAACCCCAAACCCCAAACCCTAAGCCCTAAACCCTAAACCCGAAACCCTAAACCCTGACCCGAAACCCTAAACCCTACGAAGCGAAGTCTCAAAAAGTCCAAAGAGTCGCTCCTTAAAACCTTGAATGGTTTAAGGGCTTCTTAGGGTTAAGGGTATAAGGGTGTGTTTTGGCGTTTTAGGATTTAACGGCGTTTGGGCGTTTAAGGGTTTTAAGGGTGTAAACCCTAGCACATTATGGTCTAACTCTAACACGAAAAGAGTATCCTTCAACCAAGTGAGGAACATTGGCGCCCCATAGATCTTTAGCCCTAAGCCTTGAACCTAAACCCTTTAAGATTTAGGGTTTGGGGTTTAGGGTTTAGGGTGTAGGGTAACCTAGGTCCAAAACCCTTTAACCCATTTAAATCATTAACCCATGTACTGTAACTTTTCAGCAATTCAACCCATTCAACCCATTAAACCATTTGACTCATATAACCCATGTAGCACATTCAACCCGCTTTTCCTCTTGAACCATTACCAATTTAGCCCATGTAGCCCTAAAACCCCAAAACCCTAAACCCGAAAACCCAAAAACCCTAAACTCCAAAGCTAAGACCGGCGGTTCGGAGGCTTCGTGGCAGCGCCCAGGCCGATCTGCGCTGAGGGCTTCCGGGCGTTCAGAGGACGGGTTTTGGGGGGTTTTGGGGGGTTTAGGGTTTAGGACTGATAGGGATTCTCGCACAGCATCAGATCAAGAATCAAGAGAGTCAACGAAGGGGAGCCATAATCCAGCTGCAACTAGACCCTGAACCCTAAACCTTGCACCCACACCCCTACTTGGATGTTCAGGGTACTTGTAGCGATATCGTTGGGTCTTAAGTGCAGTTCTCATTGGGTTGCTATGTACCATGAACCTCCAAGTAGACCCTAAGGCCTAAACCCTGAACCCTGAACACTACCCTAAGCCGTAAACCCCAGCCCTTACAACTGACAACCCTAGACCCTAAACCCTAAACCCTAACCCTAAACCCTAAACCCTAAACACTAAACTCTAAACCCTAAACCCTAAACCCTCAACCCTAAATCCTAAACCCCCACCAGCTTCCGACTTGCGAAGGATGAGGCGCCGGCGCATCTCCGGCCGGTCGTCCTTTGCCCTGCCCAGTTTGGCACCGCCGAGGTACCTCGAAGGGTTTTAGGGTTTTAGGGGTTTGAGGGGTTTAGGGTGTTAGGGTTTAGGGTTTAGGGTCTAGGGTTTAGGGTTTAGGGTTGTAAGTAGAGGGTTTATGATTTTTGGGCTTCAGGCTTTTGGGCTATAAATATGGGGTTTAGGGTTATGAATATGGGGTGAAGGATTTGAGGGTTTCGGGCGTTAGGGTTTAAGGTTTTAGGGTTTTAGGTGAGGCGCGTTTTTTGGGTTTGAGAGCAGCGCATCTCTTTTTGGAGAATAAGGTCGGGGTGCAGGGACAGAAGGTTTCACACCAACTGCCAGTTAGCCCTAAACCCTAAACCCTAAACCCTGAACCCTAAACCCCAAACCCCAAACCCCAAACCCTAAACCCTAAACCCTAAACCCTAAACCCTAAACCCTAAACCCTAAACCCTACACCCTACACCCTAAGCCGCCTCAACCCCCAAAAGACCAAAGCCGAAAACCCTCAAGCGGTGCAACCCTGCTACTCGGGGAGGACTACGAGGACCTCAAGGAGAGCTTAAAGGTGCGTGGATCCTTGGCTGAACCGAAGTGTGTGAAACATCACACCGTTTCTGAGCTGACCCTAAACCCTAGACCCTAGACCCTAGACCCTAGACCCTAGACCCTAAACCCTAAACCCTAAACCCTAAACCCTAAACCCTAAACCCTAAACCCGCCTAAACCTCAAACCCTTGGCCTAGTTTGTCCAGACCTCCCGTGGATTTGCGGGCACACAAGCAGGTTTCGCATTGTACGCGGCGCCACTCTCCAGATTCGACTGGCTGAAGATCGTACCCAGCACGTTCACGAAGGACAGGGCTTATGCAAATCCTCAACCTTCAGCCCTCAACCCTAAACCCTAAACCCTCAACCATCAACCCTCAACCCTCAACCCTCAAACCCCAACCCCCAACCCTCAACCCTCAACCCTCAACCCTAAACCCAGTACAAGCTTAAACGCTCACGGCCTTAAGGCCCTGAGGCCCTTAGGCCCATTTAGCTGCGAACCGCAAAACCCCCCAAGCCCCCAAACCCTAAAACCCTCAAACCCTAAAGCCCCAGGATCCCGGTTTAGGGTTTAGGGTTTAGGGTTTAGGGTTTAGGGTTTAGTAGGGTTTAGGGTTTAGGGTTTCTCACTGGGCTCCGGTCTTAAGAAGCCCTCAAGAACAGTCCACCGAAGCCCTGCGGCGCCCTAAGACGCCTATGCCCCCATAAACCCAAACTCCTCAAGCCCCTAAACGCCTTAAGCCCGAACTCAACTCTTGAAGCCCTAAACCCTAAAGCCCAACACCCTCTTGAAGCCCCTGCAAGCCCTGAACCCCCTGCATGCCGGTAAACCCTAAACCCGCAGCCGCCAAACCCCAAACCCCAAACCCCAAAACCCTAAACTCTAAGCCCCAAACCCCAAACCCCCAAACAAACCCAGATCCCAAGGAGTTCTTCACCGCGGAGCTGCGCCCGAACCGGACGCTTGGGTTCTTCTACGAAGCTCTGGACCAGGCCGGGGCTGTTTTGGGGTGTAGGGTTTAGGGTTTAGGCGGTTTAGGGTTTAGGCGGTTTAGGGTTTAGGGTTCAGGGCTTCGGGGCGTTTCTTCGCAGATTTTTGGGGGTTGCTTGGGGGTTTTGGGGGGGGATTTGGGGTTGGGGTCTTTAGGGTTTTGGGGGAGCCTTGAGGGTGGCTTGGTGTTTAGGGTTCTGCGGTTCTGGGGCTTAAGGCCGAACCCCTAAACCCTGTTTTCGGGGGGGGGGGGGTCCCCGATTTTTTGGCATAGGTTCAGGGTTCGGGGTGTCTTTTTTTTCCCGGATTTAGAGTTGCCTGCTGGGATGTTTCCCCTGCAGGGGGTGTGTGGTCTTCAAATTTGCTCGTTGTGACAGCCATGGCTTACTTCTCCTGGGAGCTTCATCGAGCTGGGTACATGTCTGAGGTTGGGATGTTTCCCCTTATGCTGGCAGTCCTTAATAGGGATTGTAGCACCCTCTATTAGATTAAACTCCCGATTAAGGGACTGTTAGGTATACGGGGGAACATCCCAACCTTCAACCTTAAACTCTAAACCCTAAACCCTAAACTCTAAACCTTAAACTCTCAGAGCGGGCAAAAACCTAAACTCAGCCAAGGCCATCGCTGCGGTGGACGCCGACTTCGGCCCGGAGGTGCAGTCGAAACCGGCGAAATTTAGGGTTTGGGGTTTGGGGGGGTTTAGGGTTTAGGGTTTAGGGTTTGGAGCCTTGAACTGCAACTAACCCCGAACCCTAGCTAATCCTTGAGCCACAAACCGTGCTCAGCCTCAAACCCTATACCCCCGGCCTAAACCCTCAACCAACAACCCTGCACCCTAAACCCTAAACCCTCAACCCTAAACCCTCTTTGGGGTACCCTATGGTACCCTTATTACAGGGGGGTTCAAGGGAGGCATGTAGCCCAAGGTTCCTTGATACTCCCCACCACTCCCTAGGCTCCCTCAGCTTCCCTAAGGTTCCCTAGGTACCTCGCCCCCATGAAACCCCCTTCCCCTAAGAGCCTTGCACAGGCAGCCCCATGAAAGAGGCCATAATTTTAAGAGAACTTCTATTTGTTGAGTTTTTTGCTTAAACCAGAAACCCAAACCCCAAACCCCAAACCCCAAACCCCAAACCCAAACCCCAAACCCCAAACCCCAAACCCCAAACCCCCAACCCCAAACCCCAAACCCCAAACCCCAAACCCTAAACCCTAAACCCTAGACCCTAATTGTAAACGCTTGCGCGCGCCGCCTCGGCAGCCGGGTTTCAGGACAGGAAAGGAGGAAAGCGGGTTTCGCCAAAAAAGGGGCTAAAGGGGGGGGGTGGGGGAGGGGAGGGGAGGGGGGGGGGGAGGGGGGAGGGGGTTTTTGAGGTACTCCTGTACTCCACCAAGCGATTGGGGGGGGTCCCACAGGGCGGGGGGGGGCGGGGGGGTGGCGTCTCAATGAAGGGTTGGGTTAGGGGGAAGGAGGCCCGATCCGGGTCTGCTTGTTCCAGACGCTTCTCTGCAGGAAGCCAGGCGAATCCCCCTAAACCCTACACCTTAAGCCCCCGGAAGCTGAGTCTCAGCTGGCAAGGAGCCCATCGCATTCTTGGGCCACTCCATTGGAGGCCCCTCCGCGGGGTTTCAAGTCCTGAGCCCTAAACCCTGAACCCTGAACCCTTAGGGTTTAGGGTTTAGGGTTTAGGGTTTAGGGTTTAGGGTTTAGGGTTTAGGGTTTAGGGGACCCTGAACCCTAAACCAGGAATCTCTAGTCGAGAAGGGAGGCATCGAACAACCCCTCACCTGCGGGACGGGAGTCTTGATGCTTCAGGCTTATTGTTTGTAGAGGTGCTTTCTTGTTCAAGAGCTGCGGCTTCGGGTTTAGGGTTTAGGGTTTAGGGTTTAGGGTTTAGGGTTTAGGGTTTAGGGTTCCCCCACCCACGACTGCGACCCCAAGGCTGGGTGGCGCGGTCTTACATCGGTGAAGTGCCCTGGCGTAGACTTCCTGCTGGTTAGTCGGGAGTGAGGGTTTAGGGTTTAGGGTTTAGGGTTTAGGGTTTAGGGTTTAGGGTTTAGGGTACCCTATATCATGCCTTAAAGGGTAGCTATATAGATACCCCAAAGAATCCCTGAAAGGATCTATACAGGTACCCTATATAATCCCTTAAAGGGAAAATTTAATGGCTACCGCATAGATGAACCCCTGAACCCTGAACCCTAAACCCTAAACCCTAGCTGAGAGAGCTGCCCAAGGTACTTGGCGAGGAGCTGGCCCGAAAGCGCGTGCGATCTTTGGTCACGCCGCATGCCTCGAAACCTTCTTTATAGCCAGAGAGATCCCGAGGCCGTAAACTCTAAGCTCCCTAAACCCTAAACCCTAAACCCTCAATTCTGAGCCCCAAAGCCATGATGTTGGGTACGCAACGACATCGTCTCGTGTCGCTACTTTGCAACCTTCACCCTAACCAACCCTCAACTCCATGAGCCACAACCTTGGAGGCTGGGCACTCCGCACCAGTCGCCGCCAGAAGACTCCTTCGTTTCGGCTCTGGATCAGACTCGCTTCTTGGCTGCGGTTTTTGGCAGAGCCAAGGGGTGTGCCATGAGCCACCTAAGCCCTAAGCCCTAAGCCCTAAGCCCTAAGCCCTAAGCCCTAAGCCCTAAACCCTAAACCCTCAACCCTAAACCCTAAACCCTGAACCCTAAACACTATGCCCTGTAAGCCCGAGGCCCACAAGCCTAAACCGTAAGCTTTTCTGCCCTAGGCGGCTTGCTGAGCTACATCAATGACAAGTTCCCATCAGGCCGGACAAGCTGCCAGTTTGGGGTTTAGGGTTTGGGGTTTAGGGTTTAGGGTTTGGGGTTTAGGGTTCAGGGTTTAGGGTTTAGGGTTTAGGTTCCTCCAGCTTTTCATCCTGCACCCGAAAAACATTCCAAAAATCCTCACACCTTAAGGAGTCTCCTAAAGCGCCCCTAAGCCCAAAAAAGCTTCTATAACCCTTAAACCCGGAACCTTCTTACAACCTCAAACCCTGAACCCTAAACCCTAAACCCTAAACGCTAATCCCTAAACCCTAAACCCCAATCCCTAACCCCTAAATCCTAAACCCTCACCCCTAAACCCTAAACCCTAAGCCCTAAACCCTAAACCCTAAACCCTAAATCCTAAGCCCTAAACCCTAAACCCACGTTCCTGCAAAGGTGCGCCTCTGCCCCCGGCATCCGTGACGTGCGTCGCGGGGCGCGGCACCCGCGTCCCCGCATCCGTGCAGGCGCTGTGGGAGACCGCAGGCCCCGGGGGGCTGCAGGGTTTAGGGTTTGGGGTTTAGGGTTGAGGGTTGAGGGTTTAGGGTTTAGGGTTGAGGGTTGAGAGTTCAGGGTTTCGGGGTTTAGGGTTTCGGGTTTAGGGGCATAAAGGGATTAGGGTTTCGTCGTTTTGGGGTTTTGGGGAGGGGTGGGGGGTTGAGGGCTTAGGGATTCATGGTTTTGGAGTTGAGACTCTGAGGCACTAAGACGTTTAGGGCTTCGGGTTTAAGATTTAGGGTGTAGGGTTTAGGGTGTAGGGTTTAGGATTGTAAGTGAGAGGAGGTTCTCGCCGGAGATCACCCCGGTTACCGTAGCCCTAAACCCTAAACCCTACATCCTCAACACCTGTGAACCTCCAAGCATGCGGGGACGTTTATAGGCTTTAGGGCTTAGGAGTCTAGCAGCTTGAGGCTTGGTTTAAGGATTTGGGGGCCTTGGGGGTTTGATGTTTGAGTCGGGGTCTCCTTAAACACTTAACACCCTCAAAAGAACCCTGAAAGACCCTTTGAGGTACCCTAAGCCCTAAGCCCTAAGCCCTAAGCCCTAAGCCCTAAGCCCTACGCCCTAAGCCCTAAGCCCTAAGCCCTAAGCCCTAAACCCTAAACCCTAAACCCTAAACCCCGAAAGCCCCCAGAATTTTTCCACGTTCGAGGCACCAAGATCTGGAACGAGACGGTCAGCCGCAGCACCTTGCTGGAGGAGGCAGTAGGGTTTGGGGTTGAGGATTTAGGGTTCAGGGTTAGGGTTTAGGGTTTAGGGTTTAGGGTTTAGGGTTTAGGGTTTAGGATTTAGGGTTTAGGGTTTAGGGTTTAGGGTTTAGGGTTTAGGGTTTAGGGGTTGAGGGTTCAGGGTTTTATGGAGGCTGGACGCTGGGCTTAGGCCGCTTAGGCTTTAGGCCTTTTTTGGTTTCGGGCCTGTGTTTTTTTGAGCTTGGGGTTTACGGTTTTTTGGCGTTCACGGACCCCCCGTACTGTAAAGCCAAAGCGCCTGAAGCCCAAAGGTCCTAAAGACTTAGCGCGAAACCCCAAAGCCCCCAAACCACCTAAACCTTAAACCCTAAGCTGTGAGCCCTGAGCCCTGAGCCCGAAGCCCTCAAAAGGTACTACAGTGAATTATGGGACCACAACCCTGGTAGAGGTATTTTAGGACCGAATCAAGTATACTCCTCCATTTCAAGGGCACTGAGATCTTCCTCTGGGCATGCGCCAATGCGCGCCAGCAGCACGCGCGCACGGCCATAGCAAAAAAAACCCTAAACCCTAAACCCTAAACCCTAAACCCTAAACCCTAAACCCTAAACCCTAAACCAAAACCCTAGACCCTAAACCCTAAACCCTAAACCCTAGAGCCCAAACCCGGTGTAGGTGGTGGCCTTCGCCTCGTACCTGCCACTGTCGGGAAGCACCTTCGGCGTCGAGGGGGATGGCCTCATTCCTGTGGACACGGCCCTCATGGAAGGTGGGGGGGGGGGGGGTTCAGGGTTTTCGCGTCCCTAAACCCTAAACCCTAAACCCTTGTTCCCTAAACCCTAAATCCTAAACCCCAAACTTGGCGCTTTAGGGTCTCCGGTTGAGGGCAGGGTTTTGAGTCTTGGGGCTTTCGAGGGTTCAGGGTGTTGGGGCTTTCGGGTCTGGGGTTCAGGGTTTTCGGGGCTTTCAGAGGGGTGGTTGGGTTTAGGGTTGAGGGTTGAGGGTTTAGGGTTTAGGGTTTAGGTTGAGGGTTTTGGGGGTAAGGTTTCGGGTCAGGAGCTCAGCTCCTTCCGCTGACACTCTTGAAGTTTGCTCTTTCTCCCCCCCCCCCCCAAATGGGGTTTCCGAAATTCGGGATACCCCTATTGAGAGTCCTTATTTCAATAAGGGAATCGCGCTACCTCTGGGGGAATCTATTTGGGGTCCCTGATTTTCGAAACCCCGAGCACCCTAAACCTTAAACCCTAAACACGAAACCCTAAACCCTAAACCCTAAACCTTAAACCCTAAACCCTAAACCCTAAACCCTAAAACACCGCGGGAGTGCAGGCTGTCAGAGCGTCGTTGCTCGGCAGCATCTTCAGGCACGCGAAGCAAGCTCGGATGCAGTGCTTCACCGATGTTCCTGCGCAGCCCCCCCCCCGCCCCCGGGTTTAGGATTTTGGGGGTTTTAGGGTTTAGGGTTGGGACGTTCCCCCGTATACTAACAGTCCTTAATGGGGATTATGATAGGGCGTACAATAATCCCTATTCAGGACTGTTAGTATAAGGGGGAACATCCCAATACAGACTCCGTAATAATAGAGTAGAAGAAGGTAGATCGCAATAGGATAGGAACAGAATGCAGACTCCAAACTGCCAAGAAAAAATAGTTTCCATGAGTATCCCGCACAATCAGGTGCTGGACGATTGCAACCATGCCCCTCGGCGCATCCTACCCTTGCCTGGCCTCTTTGAACCTTCGGTTTTTTTGTACCCTAAACCTTAAACTCCAAACCCTAATAATTACCCCAGTACCCTCGTACGCCAAGCCCTAAACCCCGAAAGTCCTTTGATGACTCGATGCAGAGGCAGACTTTGTGCCGATGGTTGGTGAAAGCCTGAAGCTTCCGAAGTCAGAAGCTCAGCTCCCACGCACCGTTGTTTTGGGGAAATCCTAAACCCCAAAAACCCTAAAACCCTAAACCCACTAATGCCCTAGAACCCTGAAACCTTAAACACCCCAAGACCCCAAAACCGTGTACCCCTAAACCCTAAACCCCTAAACCCCTAAACCCCTAAACCCCTAAACCCCTAAACCCCTAAACCCCTAAACCCCTAAACCCCTAAACCCCTAAACCCCTAAAACCCTAAAACCCTGAAACCAAAAACAACCCCATTACCCCAAAACCGTAAAACCCTAAGCCCCTAAAACCTTCAGACTCCAAAGCCCTAAAACCCCAAAACCCTAAAACCCTAAAACCCCAAAACCCCAAAAACCATGACGCCCCAAAAACCCTAAAACTCCGAAACCCGAAGCCCTGAAGCCGTAAGCCCGTGGACTCCACCAGCTGCAGGTCATACCAGTGGTATGGCGACTTCATCGAGGACTGGGTTAAGTTTCTGTGACCCGGATGTTTTCCGTGAGCTTCTCTGAGGCAGGATGTCTCACACTAAACCCTAAACCCCAAACCCCAAACCCTAAACCCGAAGCCCTAAGCCCTAAACCTTAAACCCTAGTAAGCCCAGTAAACCCAGTAAACCCTAAACCCTTAACCCTTTGTCTTGCCCGTACCTTCTCTGCTAGTGCAAGGGGGCGAGAGGAGCTTCATGGAACATGGCTGCCTTGTCTTCCTTTCCACGTCGACGTGGGGGTTGATCTACACTATGCGCCCTGTTTTGGGTACCCTGAACTTCCAGGCACGCATCAAGGAACCTTCCATGGGCCAGAACTTCGGCCAACTCCCATGCGCCTGATTTTTCCGACCCTCAGGCATTTTCAGTCCGAGTGCGCTGACTCCTAAAACTGTTTAATTGAGGACCTGCACCACGGCTCAGTGAATGCAGAACAAAAAAATTGCACCCATGATCGTAAACCCTAAAGTCAGCAAAACCTAGGGTTTATGGGGAGTGTAGGTTTTAGCGGGTTTATAGGATTTATAGAGTCTAGCTCCTAAATCCTAAACCAGTAACCCTCCCCAAACCTCAGGGAGTTTAATCGCTCCCCCTATATTTCGCCCCCCGCCCCCTCCCTTCCCAAAATGGAAATCCGGCGAAACACAGCCCGAAAGCCTAAACTTTTACACTTCACTCTTTCTTGGAGTCTTGCACAGCGGCCCAATCCCTGAGCCCTAAACCCCAGAAGCCTAACACCCCAAACCCTTAAAGCCATAAAACCCCAAAACCATGAAAACCCTAAAACCCTAAAACCCTCAAACCCTAACCGAAAACCCTAAAAGCCCTAATACCCTACCCTGCAAGCCCTGAAAAGCCTCAAACCCTCAAGCCCACACCCAAAACTAGTACCCTACCCGAAAACCCTGAAAACCCCTCAAAAACCCTGAACAAACCTAAATGACCCTAAACAACCCTACAAACCACTGAAAAACTTTGAAAAGCCCCCACAAAACCCTGAAACACCAGAATACCCTAGGCCCTAAGCCTTGAACCCTAAACCCTAAGCCCTAAACCCTAAGCCCTAAGCCCGAAACCTTAAACCCTAAACCCTAAACCGTAAACCCTAAACCCTAAACCCTAAACCCTAAACCCTAAACCCTAAACCCTCAACCGCGGAGCCGCCTGAGGCTACGTCTACTATTGGAGCTTCGGAAGCAGGAGGCGCCAGAGCGTGGGAGGAGACTCCAAAACCCCTTAACGAAGGGATGGGGTTTAGGGTTTAGGGTTTAGGGTTTGGGGTTTTGGGTTTAGGGTTTAGGGTTTAGGGTTTAGGGTTTAGGGTTTAGGCTTTAGGGTTTAGGGTTTAGGGTTTAGGGTTTAGGGTCCTTAAATTATCATAGGAGCCCTAATATGAGTTAAGGTACGCTCTTTAATTGAAGGGGTTTTGGAGTCTCTGGGTGGAACCGAGTAAGGTCACGGTTTAGGGTCCTTGGTGGAACTTTCATAGTGTCCGCTCCAGCTTTCTCATTCCGCGCTCTAGCTGGGCTGGGGGTTTCCATTCTACTTGGGTACCTATAAGTAGGGTGATATGAAGGGTGGTGAAAAGTTATAACCTTTTGAGGGGTACTAATCGCCCTAGTTAATAAGTCGTACCCTTGAGGCTTCAAACAGAAACTTCTTACAGCGAAAGGTGCCCAACAAATTGCCCGTTACAGATCAAAGTCAGGCGAAAAAGCCTTTCCACCATTTTTGGCAAACCCTAAACCCTAAACCCTAAACCCTAAACCCTAAAGCCTAAACCCTAAACCCTAAACCCTGAAAGTCCTTTTGAGGTACTACAGCTGGAAGCTGGCGCTCTCCTTTGGCCCGGTCTTGGCTTTCGCCCTCTGCGCTCACATGACTTGGGCGCGGGTTCCCTGGGGTTTAGGGTTTAGGGTTTAGGGCTTTAAGGGTTTCGCGTTTAGGGGGGTTTAATTAAGGGTTTAGGGTTTGCGGGTTTCAGGGTTTTGCATTTTGTAGCATGAGGTTTTAAGTTCTGAGGTTGACAGGCTGGCAGCAGTTTCGGCGTGCCAAAAGGGTTTGGAGCGAAGGCCCCTCGATTCGCGCTTCACAGCGTGCTTGGGGCGATTCATGGGGGCTCATAAGTAGGGTTTATACAATATATTCATCTTATTAGATAAATATATATTTGGGTTTTTGAATACAGTTATGCTTGTAACCGTACTTAGCACTGCTCAAGAACCTTCAAGCAGGGTTAGGGTTTAGTCAGTTTGGTGTTTAGGGGTTTGGGTTGGGGCTTTGGAGGCTTCTAGATTCGGGTCCGGTTAAAGATACCATGTTTGGCAGGTGCTCAAGGGCAGCCGAATTGATACTAAGTGATTAACCATTTAGGGTTATTTGTTGTCAGAATAGGGGACACCGCCTTATACACCTCCCCCCCCGTACTGCCATACTGTGGACTCTTATCAAGGGAACCTCTTGCAGAAAGGGCACCCCTATTTTGGGAAATCCCCAAACCCACCCAAATCCAAAAATACCCTAAACCTTAACACCCCTAAATAAGCCCCAAAAACCCTAACATCTTAAAAAGCCCAAAGCCCTAAGAACCCTGAACCTTAGCAGTGCCCTCAACGCCAAACAACCTGTGTCCTAAACCCTGCACCCCCTTTAGGGTTTGAGCTCATGGCTTGGGAGTCCATGGTTTGAGTCAGCCTACCCCGAAAACTCAAAAGCCGCCTGAAGCCTCCCAAAGCCCCCGGAAAGCCCCCGACTACTTGGAGGTTCATGGTGCTTAGTAACCCACTAATAACCCAATTCTAGCCCTGTTGGGGTACTTAAGGGGCTGATAAGTGGGTTAGAACTAAACTTAGAATTGGGTTATAAGTACCCTGAACCTCCCAGTAAGCTCCCAAAAAGCCCGAAATCACGTGCCGCCGTGGGCGCACCAAGGCGGCTGGGCTCCTGTTCAGGCGTGAGAGTCTTCCATTTGCCAGGGCTTGTTTGGGTTTAGGGTGCGGGGGTGCATTTATGTTTTATGTTGTTTTTGTTTGCGGGGGGGGGGGGGGGGGGGCGGTTCATGGTTTGAGGTTTAGGCTTGGGGTTTGTGTGGGGTTGAGTTGGTACACCCCAAAGCCTCTACAGCCCCTAAAGCCCTTAAACCCCTAAGCCTTGAACCCAAACGAGCCCCCGAAGGCCTCGAAGCACTTCAAACCCTAAGACTCCTGAAGCCCCAAAGCTCTAGGCCTGAAACCCTAAGACACCTAAAGCCCCAAGTCCTAAAGCCTAAGTCCTAAACCCCAAACCCCAAACCCCAAACCCCAAACCCCAAACCCTAAACCCTAAACCCTAAACCTAAACCCTAAACCCTAAACCCTAAACCCAAAACCCTAAACCCTAAACCCTAAGAAGCCCCGAAGCCCCCATAACAGGCGGCGGGTGCCCTGCCGAAAGGCCTTGGCTCTTACGGGCTGCCTCTGGCTGCCGCCTCGGCGTTTCTTTGGGTTTAGGGGGTTTAGGGTTTGGGGTTTGGGGTTTAGGGTTTAGGGTTTTGGGTTTTGGGCTTAGGGCTTAGGGCTTAGGGTTGAGGGTTTGGGGTTTAGGGCTTGGGGCTTAGGGCATAGTTTAGGGTTTAGGGGGTAAATGGTTTAATTGGGGTTTAGGGTTTAGCTTTGCAAGGTTCAGGGTTCAGGGTTTGGGGTTTATCATTGAGGCTTTGGGGTGGGGGGACTGGGGTTGTAGGGTTTGGGTTTAGGTTTTAGGGTTTAGGGTTTGGGGTGTAGGTAGAAAACGCCTCCTTTCCTAGTTCCGAAGGTTTGTGGGCGAATTTAGGGTGGCCTACGGCTTAGGCTTTTGAGCTGTCAGGGGCTCCAGGAACCTACGCCCTGAGCCCCTGCGGCGGCATGCAGGGTTTAGGGTTTAGGGTTTAGGGTTTAGGGTTTAGGGTTTAGGGTTTAGGGTTTAGGGTTTAGGGTT